CCTTCCCCAAATCCATCCACCCCCCAGCGCCATGCCGACAGCTTGCACCCTCCTCTTGCTGCTGCTGCTGCTGGGGCTGGTCCCGCCGGCCGGGTCGTTGCCCCTCGTTTCCCCACGGAGTCGTCGTCTTCCTCCTCCTCCTCCTCCTCCTTCTTCTTCTTCTTCAGTGTCCCGAAGCCGTCTCGGCCGCCCTTCCTTGCCTCCCGCCGCGGGACACGCCGGCAGCCCGGGTGAGTGCCTTGTTCCGCCGTGGGGATGGGGATGGGGGTGGGATTTGGTCCCCAAAGTGGTCACTTTGGGTTCGCTGAGCATCCCAACATCACCCAGAGCTGCATCGGCTGTGAAAAAGTGCAACCCCCTCCCCAAAGAACCCCTCTTCCCAAAGAACCCCTCTCCCCTTTTAACTTTGCCCAGCCCATCGTGGTAGAGCGGGTGAAGAAGGTTTGGGATGGGAATCCTAGGTGGGAAACCCCAAATAGGTTCGTAGCTGCGTGGACCAGCTCGAAGGTGAGTGGTGGGAACTTCACAGAGGAGTTTAAGGAGGGCTTGGTGGGTACTGGGGGTACGGCTGATGTGTGTCCACCCGTCAAAACATTCCCAGGTGGGAAACTGGTGGCTCCTGTAGGTGGTCTTCAGGGTCTGAGTCACTTGCTGCTCCTCTCCAGACATGCCCTCACCTCACCTTAGGTGCTGACCCACGTCCAGGTGTGGGGCCAGATGCCATCAGCTCTCTATAAATATCCTCTCTCTCTCTGCGTCGCCTACAGACTGTCAGGTTAGTCATGTATAAAGTCACATTTTTCCTTGCACGTCACATCTACAGTGTCGTTATGAGGAGCAATGACTAGTTTGGTACTTTACAAATTATGCTGATTTTGGTTTCAGCACAGGATAAACTGTATCTTTCCTGGAACCAGCAGGGCTTGTTTCAAGTGTCACCCAGTAAAGTGGTTCACTTACATGCTGAAGAAGACACATAGCTCTAAGGATGACTAATTCTCAATGAGTTTGGAAAACACTGGATGTCTGCAGGTGATGTAAGGAAATCCAGTGTGACAAATGAGTCCTGTGTAAGTTTTAGGATTGATCGCCTGCTTGAGCTGGACTGTCAAATTTCATCTTTTGATTTCTGATGTGGAGAGAAATATCATGCTTTGGTACTTCAGTTTACTTTCATGGAGCTATGCAATTTCAGGAAATGTGACAGATCTACATTTATAACATTTTAGTTTTCTCCACAAACACAAGGTGTACCTTTGTAAAGTGCATCCACGCTAGACCCAATGTATAGTTGGGGATATTGTCTGGAATGTACCCTGCAGCGGATTAGAAAGCTCCTAACTAACAGTGTTTGTGTGAGAGCAGCCTGGTGACTAGGAGACTGCACTGAAATGAAGGAGATTTGGGTCTGTTCCCAGATCAGCCACTTCTTTGTGCCACTCCAAGTGTCAGTTTGTCCTCCAAACAGGGAGAGAATAACTCTGTCTTACCTGCTATCAACCTCGCGAAGATAAAAATCTGCAACTTGCCAGCAAAGTGCTCCCCTATTATTTGATGAGAGCGGCGCAAATTCCTCGGCGGACAGAAAAAAACTATTTAATTTCATCTCAGCTTTCGATCTGGCACCTTTTCCTGTGACCTTGATGACTCCTGAGAGTCAGCAGAGGAATGCGTTTCCTTTGTTAAAGAGTCTGAAAAGCTCAAACTATCTCTCCGAGTGCTGGAAAAGCCATTTGTCTGGCTACCAGCATCTGGCCGCCCGGCTCAGCGGAGGAGGCTTTGCTCCGAGCTGCCCGTGCTCGGCAGCTACAGGTGCTCGTGAATCATGTCAACCCCATCCAGAAGGAAGCGGGGAGGCGGGATGCACCGTGAAGGAGTGATAAATAACCCGGCAGTAGCTCCTCTCCCTGGCAAACAGCAGCATGAATTAGGCTGGGTCCTGACAGCCGCGATTCACTCGCTGTTAGCTACAGCTCTATGCTTGTCAGTCAAAGGGAATTGTTTGGTGTTAGGGGAGCGGGCTTGGGGGGAACCCCTAAATCACTCTCAGGTTGAGCTGTCGACGCTTGAGAAATCCCTGTTGTCTGTCTGGCCGCCGCTCCTGCCCCTCTGAGATGTTTTTTTTCACGTTTTGAAAACTCTTGCGTGAAGCAAAGGAGGGGGGGTGGGGAGCATTTCTTGTGAACCCATCGCCCCGGCGCTACGTGGAAATGAAGATTACATCTCTGTTTAGAGCGAGTCTGAGGTTCGGCGGCAAAAAAAGCCCTTTCTCAGGCAGGGCTTAGCAAGCAGATGGTGAGGCAGTGGGAGTAGAAATGGGGCTTTTGAGGCTCTCACAAAGCGTGGGGTGAGGGAGTGGGGTGGGAGCTGGGCTGCCCTATGGAGCCTTGCTGCCTTCCCTCGGACAGCATCTGCCACCCCTCCCTGCCAACCCCTCCGTGGGCTTGTCTGGTGAAGAAATGAGGACAGCTGGCTTCCCCGTGTTGTTTAAAGTGCAGGCTGAGTCCTGCGGGAGAGGAACATAGGAAAAAAATCAGTGAAGTGGGAAGCGAGGAAGCTGGTGGGAGCAGAGATAAAGTAACATCAAACCCCTCTGTGAAATCCTTCTTGGCAGCTGTTTCACATGGGCACCGGGCGAGCCGAAGGGCACCGTGTGCCAGGGCTTTGGTTCCAAGCTCTGTCCTTCTGCAGGTTTCCTTATTTTAGGTTTCCCGTCTGTGAAATGGGAATAATTCCAGTGACACCCTGGGGACAGCAGAGGTGGCATTGAGCCCCTGATAAAATCACCATGGCTGGGGTCTCCCCCTGTTGCTGTAATATCCCTTTTTCCTTTACTTCTGCCCTGCCCCGGTGCCCTGCCGTGCCGCCCGGCACCGTGTGGGACTGCCGGCAATGGGCTCGCCCTGAGAAGCTGATCTGCTTTTCTGCCATCTGTGTCCGGCCTTCCATCCTTTTTCCCTCTCTCCGGTGCCAGCTGCCACCTTTCTTTGCTGCTTCCCCAGTGGGAGCCCTGGAAATAAGGTGTGAAATCACCCGAGAAGGAATCGGCTTAGCTCGCAGAAGAGATTTCGGCCGGCTGCTGGGAGAAACTTCCCAGCCCTCTGAGAGGGGCAGAACAGGCTGCATTTATTCATGTATTTTTTTCAGCTTTCTGTCTCTGAAACTTTCTGTGTGCGGAAGAAGCAAATTTAGGAGTGAGGGCAGAAGATGGGGAGGATGCCCGTTTGTGCAGAAGTACGGCGTTAACCTCCAAACCGGCCTCAATTTTCACCGTGTGTATTTTGGGGCTCCTGGGGGCAGAAGCCCAGCTCTCCGTGCAGAGAGGTCTCAGGTGCTGCTGTTTAGCTTCGATAGGATTTCAGGTGGCCGTGGGTGGTGCAGGAAGGATGCTTCCTCCCCCTCCCGTGTGAGGACAGGGAATGATTGCCTCCCACACCTCCACATTGCTATCAGAAGACCCACAGGCTGGTTTCAGGGTTTTCTCTTCTTGGGCATCTCCACCGCTTCTCTCTGTGAGCCGTAAGTGGGTTTGGTTGGTGTGCTGTGAACCTGAACTCCCTGGAGTTGTATAGATTTAGCTCTGCTCCTTTGGGGTACATAATTAAAAGCAACAAAGCAAAGAGATAGGGGGGGGAAATAAAAGAGCAGCGTTTCAGAAAAGGAGGGAGGAGATAAGAGATCAGCTTCCCCGCTCCTTCCCCATCCCGAGCCCCTGCAGGTGATGAGGGTTGTGCGCTGGGTTCGCATCTGTCTGGGAGAGCACTTTGGGTGATATTTGAGTGGTAAATGAATACAGTCCAAGAGATAATTGTGTAACCTGACTGGCGGGGAGCACACAGTGGTGTGTATTGATTTACACCTCCACAGGCAGCGAACGCCAGTGCTGAGCTGTGAGCGGGGCACAGCAGGTGAGGGGACAGCTGCTGTACCTGCAGCCCCTAATTGGGCTCTCCACAAAGTCTCATTTCCCCAGCAGCCAAGCGGCAGGGCCAGCCCACGTCCCTTCAGCAGGCTCTGCTCCAGCAGCCATCCCCACTTCAGGGGGGTAATTTAATTAGCTTTAATTTTCGCTCTTGGCTGGGAGGATGAGGGAGACGAGCGCCAGCCTTGCTGGTGCAGGGGTGCCTTCCTTAGGCAATATTATTTTCAGTATCAAAAGTTGCTGATGCTGGTGAGTTTAGAGGAGTGTGGGGTTTCTGGGACAACCTGCTCTTAGACATCTTAGTTTTTGGGCTGGCAATCAGAAACTCTCCATGATTGAGCTCTCAAGCTCTCTGCGGGCTGTTTCCATCCTCCCCATCCCGGTCATCTCCTGGGGGCAAGTCACAGCAGCTGAGCTGATGGAGGCTGATGGCTCCATCACCATTGCATCTCTGGGAGGTGGCAGAGGATGATGCTCCTTTAGCAGAGGGGGGTGTAGTATCAGGCTGGAAAGGCAGTTGGTCTTGGTGTGGTTGTAGTGCAAAACTCGAGTGAATGCTGCTGTGGCTGGGACTGTGCCTGTGCATCCCAAATGTATGGCTGCTTCTTCAAACCCATAGCTTCTCAGCCCATCCCGCAAAAGGGATTTCGGGAGGTGTCTGGGCAATAGGAGCAGGGGATTGCTCTGTCCCGTGAGCTACCAAACCAGGCTCTGAGCTGTCCCCTGGGTGAAAGCTGAGGCCAAAGCCCAAAGCAAAGACCAAAGATGGTAGGTATGTGGTGGTTGCCTGGTTGGGTGCTACCACTGGCCAGCCTGGGCTCCGGGGCTGAGCACGGCTGCTGCAGGAGCTGCTGCTAGTCCTCCTCACTGCTGTTATGGCTTTACAGAAGGGGACTGAGGCCTTAGTAGCATCAATCTGGTCATAATGGTTTTATTTATGAAGCGTTCATTCGAGCTAATAACTGCCACCACCCCTCCCAGAGTAAAGAGCTATTTCAATTAACAATTTAAGCCAATAAAACCTATCAGTGTAGCAATGGAGTTTCAGTGCTGTGCTACAGAGACTAAGGCACCACCCAAGTCTCTGACTCTTCTGGAGTTGCTGCTGGAAGGACCCATTGGCCATTGCTGTGGCTTCCTCATCGATGGTAGCTACGTACCAAACTAGGGATAGGTATGGAGCAGTAGGGCTCAGCTGTGGGGTGCTCAAGGCAGGGCTGCAGCCTCCTAAATACCACAGGGAAATGAGCTGGATGGATCATGGATAGCCAGTGTGAACCCTCTGGATTCTGGCTTTGCTTCCCCACA